TTTTTTTTTTTTTTTTTGCTCAAATAAAAAAATTATTTGTTATAATTTATAATTTTAAAAGTTTGTCATAATTTATTCTTTTTAAATTAAGTCTGATAAAAGCTTTAATATGTTATAAATACCTGTAAAGAAAATATAACGTTCATTTTCTTTGAGATAAAACATTTTCATATTTTCATTTTGTATTTTCACAAAACACATACTGGCACCAAGGAAAGACTAACAAAAATAATTTAACAGCTGTACAGCGCACTCCAGGTTGGAAACATTCAAGCAACACAACTTGTATCCATTTAATTTAACCACAGATTTCATGATTTCATTTTTGGCTGCATTATAGATAGTGACCTTAAAACAGCAAAAAATAAAGCAGTGAAACTCACATATTTTAAAGAATTAGCCTGAATGCAATATTCAGATACTGGCCTTGATACTGCTGCTGTTTAAGGTGTGCGATGATCTTCTTCACACAAACAATGAACAATTACGTTTATTGTTGTTCCCCAAATGAAGCACCCTTTATGATCTAAGCTAGACATTAATGAGATCCAGAAGTACTATGTTATGTACAGTGTAGTTGCCAGGTTCTGAGAACTTCATGACAGGAGAAAGCTTTTATTTTTTTTCATTCTCTATTGTTGATTATCCAATGATTAGTTCAATTAATTGATTTGATACTCTGGTGTTAAGTATTTAATGGGACTCTATATTTAGGACACCATATCATTGAATTTGTTTCTCTTAACATTTAGGGTCTAAATGCTGTGGGAGCCAGAAAATATTCCAGCAAAATCCTCATCAAAATCCACCAGCACTTTTTTAAAAAAGTGTAAAGATTATTCAAAGGTTAAAAGGAAGCACAAAGAAGTGGAACAGATAGGTAGTTCATATGCTTCTGTGTAGCTCCAATATAATGTAGTGGAGAATGTCAGACTAAGACTCAGGAGACTGGGGTTCAAATCTCTGCTCGACCATGAAAACTTACTGTGGGGCACTTATAGTAAATTACTTCGTAAACACCTCACATGCCTAATAACCACTATATGGAAGAAGGGCTTTGCTTTTACTGATTCTATGCCACCAGTGATGGCTCTGTGATGACCGGACTAGTCCACTGACACTGCCCATGATCCCTGTGGTGCAATCCCCATGTAGTTTAAGGAAGGCTGGTGTCACCCATTCATCTACCAGACAAGACACCAATGGGGTAATAAATAGGAAATAGGGGTTTTCCCAGGCTGGTTTGAGCTTTCACTTTTCAGAAGCTGGATTTAAAAATAAACAAACAAAAAACAGTGATGGGCAATTTCTCTCCAGCCAGTCTCAGAAACAAGCATTTTAAAAATAGCTAGCTACCAGAGAGTTCTATTCTGTGTCTCTCTGTGGCATGGAAGTGAGTATGGGTTGTATTCTTCTCCTGTTCAGATTTAGTTCAAACAAAAGGAGGAAAGTCCAGTTACTTTGTATCAAGACAATAAAACTTGGAATATTATCTTGTAAAAATAATAATTTGTTTCTTGTTATTTTAAAATCTCATTGACTTTGCTTAAATCCCTGATTTTGTGTGTCTGTGTGTCTGTGTCTGTGTCTGTGTCTGTGTGAAGGAGAGAATCATAACATGTTACTTTTGATAGCACATCACTGTACAAAGTTTTAAAACTGATACTGCAACTCCAACTCCCCTCAATATCTTGAAAATGATCCCCACCAGAGAATATTAAAGTAACAAGTAAACATTGCTCATCACAAGAAAAAGATAACCTGCAATGTTGCATTATTTTTTTTAAAAAAGTAAAATAAAAAAATTAGTGCTTTGTCACCCCCCAAAAGGCAAAGTGTTACATGTAACATTGATGCTATAGTTCCCTGAGGCAAATGTTATAAGGCAGCCTAGCTTTATCCTGTGCAATTTGATATGGATAAATTTGGGCTCTGCTACTAGGGAAACATTGGTTTGAAAGAAAACATGGGACAAGTGTCATTTAAATCACCTTCACATGGAAGCAAATACACTATCAGAGAAATTAATAGAGCTAGAGAAAGGAAGAAAGCATTTCCCGTCACTCTTTATTCAACTAGCTATACTCTGTTCAGATGATTTCTGCATTGCTTCATTCTCCACTGTTTACTTGCATTTTCCTTTTGGATCCATGCAGTCTCAACTAGAGGAGGCCAAGTGAATCAGTGGGACTTACATAAATGTTGACTTAATGAATGCCATTCATTTAACGGATCTCCTCCCACTGAGACTAGCTGTCAGATTTAGCCCCACAGAGTCGCCACCAAAAACTCTAAGCATTAATCGCTACCAAAAAAAGGCCCACCTGCTTCCACCATATTGTGTGATTTATATTTCCTTTTTTAGTCTCACCGAACAATATGACACTTCTGCAGGTGATCACTGTGTTTAGTTAGATGCAGTGAAAATGATGCTCTTTGGAAGAGCTGTCTGGTTCCCTCCTGCTGCTGCTTCTCTCATCGTCATGATTTTCTTTTCACTTACTTTAAAGCCTCTTGTGCCTTCATTTTGTCTGTTTATTTTCTTTATGCGGTGTGCGCGCACACGTGTGCATGCATGCGTACACATGCTCTCTTACTTCTTTTAGCCTTTCAGGGTTAAACAAAGGTGTCTTCCATACAGGCACTTCTATTTCAAATATAGCAGCCAACCCATTAAGGTATTTCCCCCCTTTTTTAAAAAAAGAGGCATTCCATATGCAATTTTTATGTGTGCTTTTTAAAAAGCTTTCTTGGCTTTTCTCATTCACTTTTCATTAAGAAAACAAAAATAAGCAGCCAGCAACCTCTGTGGTAAATGTTGACAAATGTGTCATTCACACAGAGAGAGAGATGGAAAGAAAATAGTTCAAAATCTGACTATATGCATGATTTAGTATTTCTATCCACTGTCCTCTTTCTCTTTAGTATTTTCCTGAGAGATCTGCTCCTTGAAATGTGTGAAAATACACTGCTTCCAGTTGTAAAATGAGTACAGTACTGTACATTTACAGCCTAATGGGGAGAGCTTGGAAAAATTATTGTCTTGTAATTTGGTCACTGGCCATGCTGGCTAGGGGAGCCTAGGTGTTGTAGTCTGCCTTTCCAGGTTCCACTAAAAAAGCAGTACATCTCTGGGACCAGTACAAGGTCAGTGATAGATGGTCTTCTGGTGGGAAGAAGATATTGCCATAGGATAAGCTAGTAGTTTGCCATTCCCTTCATCTTGGGGCGCCCTGAGACTGTGTAGCCTGCCTAATGCCACCCAGGTTGGCTCTTCTGGGTCAGCAGCTAGATCTCTAAACCACTCAGCTATCCATGAAAAATTCCAAGGGGGCATGAGACTGAGATTTTCATAATTTTTTTAAAACCATTAACACATTGCCATGGTAGACATCATTATAAGAAGTTAGAATTTTTCAGGAAAACCTATTTTTGTGACTTTTTTTTTTAAAAAAAAGGTTTTATATGTGTGTTTTTAAAAAAAAATTAATTATGAAATGAATATTTTGGTTCAAACAGGCTAGGTAATAACAAAAAAGATGTGGGACGGTGTGAGTGTTGTCCATGATTCAAAAAGCTTTGGTGACCCGTGGGACAGGCTGTTTGAACTTCCAAAACCATAACTGATTTGGGTATAGCAGGGAATTCTCTAATGAGTGAAACAAAATTTAGTGTCTCCAGAAGTAAGGTAGATTTGTTGCACCATGGCAACTGAAAGTGACTGGCCATAGGAAAAGGTAGACAAACTTTAGCATTTGAGGTGCTTCAGATTTTGAGGTACTGCTGCCTTATTTCCTCTGAAAGACTTTTTCATAGCTACATAGATTAAAACTGCCCACTTACATTGAAATAAACCCACTGAAATGAGAACTTCTGAGCAGAGGTGGACAGGACTGTACAGTAGTGAACACACCAAAATTATACAAAGGGTGGGCAGCTCACCCTTTTTTCTGCTTTAAGAGCTGTAACTGACTGTGTTTGTTAACTCTGGCCTCTCTTGGTCTCAAGAGATCTGTCTCTGAACTCAACAGAAGGGGCATTCCTGATCAGAATCAGGCCTTCATGGAACCATTATTAAGTGCCCGTCGTGCATTTTAATCAAAAATAGGGCTGGTAATCACCCAACCCTGGGACCACAGAAACCCCTCAAGGCCATTTTTTCACTCCCTGGGCCCCACATAATTCCCCCAACATATTTTTTCTAGGACAAGGTGTGCCTACTCCATACCTTGTTTTAGCAGAAACCCTCATTAAAAAAAAACAAGTGACCTTCCAGTTACATCCAGTTTCAATGGAAAGGGATTGGTTCAGCAATGATGGGTTTGGGGAAGAGGGAAATGGCCTCTAGATGCCTTCCCCATGTTACCTACTTTAGCTTTGTCCAGCTTTGTAAAGTGAAGAGAATATGCCCTATGATTCTTTATACATAGTTCTTCTACTGTATGGCATCTGCTGTTATTTATGAAAAAATGGACAAGAAGCCTATCGGAGTCTCTGACAGCATTAAATCTGGTTATAGGTGACTGTGGCCGTTTCAGTTTTGTGAAGGAACCTGCCCGTTCTCAGAGGATTACTGATATTTTAAAATGACAATTACCTCATGCCTAGCAAGGGGCCTTTTCTGTTTTCCTGAATCTCTAGGTTGCTGATAAGTTTAAAGCAATAAAGGTTATATTCATGCAAATTGTCAATATAAGTGGGACTTGATCTGAAATGAGAGGTGTTACAGAGCTGGGGTGGGTGAATATTTCCAACCTTGTGCTTTTCTCTATATGTTTTAATCTTCATCATTCAGAATATCAACCAAGGCTTGGAGTAGTCTGTCATCTCTGTGTTTATAGGGTTTAGAATTGTAGAAAAGGTCAACATAGTCACTGTACAGAGACTCTTCTGAATCTCTCAGTTGGGAGGCTCGGTTTAATTTCTCAAGAGCTTGTTGGAAATGTTCATATGGAATTTGTGAATTCCCATGGAGCATTTTCTGTGGTACTCGGTGTCCAGCCATCTGACTGTGAAATGCATTTTGCAGAAGATGGAGCATTGCATCTGAAGGGGCCATCTCTGGTATTTTCTCATTGCTGGTGGTACTTTTGGTCACCTTGGCTTTGTCACCCAGGTTCTCCACTGTGGTGTGGTCCTGAAACATACATGAGCATGCCAAACATCATTTAACAAAGATGGCCAAGGAGCAGAGTTGGCTCAAGATATTTTTCTTCCCAAGGCAAAGGACAAGACGTAGCGAAGCTGGCTGGACAAGCGCTGTACAAGTACAAAGCACTGTATCTGGGGGCAGCAGGAGAGCTTAGAGGCTGCAGTTATACACAGCTCTGTCTGATATCTTGTCAGTTGCTCTGCACCGGTGGTAGCTCAAGCTGCCCCCATGCATGCACCCCCACCATGTACCTGCACATGCTTTTCATACCTGCTTGCTGCTACCCTCCTTTTCCTCACTATTGATGTTGCTGTCTTGCCAGCCCGCCCACCCAATTCTTCATTGCAGAAGTAGGAGCTGTTTAGTGATGTGGGCACATTTTTAATCAAAGTCACATTTTTAAACCAGCTCTGCCGAAAGCAGTGGTCTTGCTGGCTCTGTGTGAAAACATGGTGGCCATTCGGAAGGTCTGGTGCTTCTGTAAAGACAGCAGCAACTAACCAGCCTCCTCTGTTGATCAGCAGCACTAGGTGCAGAAGGCACCACGGTGTGAAAGTGAAGGAGCTTGTGCCAGCAACCAAGCAAGAAGTGGGGCTAGAAGGAGGCAACAAGGTGAAGCATGAAGGGGGGAGGGGCTGTGGTGCCTTTTAGGGGAAGAGGTGTTGTTTGCTGCTCCCAGCACCTGAGGCAGCTACTTCAACCTTTTATTTGACAGTTTCTGTATCTGCCACCTCGGGCACCTAGCTCACTCTGCCTAATGGTACAGCCAGTTCTTGCATGGGACCTGTAAAGGGGCATAAAGGACTGGGAAGCAGAATAGGCAAACTATGAGTGCCTTTCCAAAAGGTGATTCTGAAGTCCCTCTAGTCCTGCATCATGCTTCCTGTAATGACCAAGCATTTGCCTCTGGGAAGCCCAGAAGCAAGGGCTGTTGCCAACTGTAGCCCACTTCCCTTCTAGCAACTGCTATTTATGAGTGGCATACTGGCTCTGAGCCCAGATCTTCACAAAGCCTAGAAAGGTAATATTTGGCGATGTCAAAGATAGGGAATTCTCAGAGTCGCACTCTTACAAATTAGATGTTGAGTTAAGGTAAAGTGACTAGCAGCTGTTGTCTGTTCTACCCTGTATGAATTTGTCTGATAGCTTATAAGCCATCTAAACTAGTAGCCATTGTCACGTCTTGTGCCGGGCATTTTCACCAATGAACGAGAGGAAAAACTGATTGAATCAAGAAAGCTTAAGAGCCTGTTGAAAGGAAAGCAAGGTCTCTCCGATGTGCTCCACAGGTGACGGGGAACATCTGGATAGCATGAGAATAAAAGTGGTACCTCTACAAAATCTGCCATCCTTTCCGCACCTCTCCTGTCATTTTGAACAGTATTGTATGATGTGTAGACACGAGGCTGCTTCATGTGCTCAGGCCGGGTTGAAGTGCCATGCAAAATCAATTTCCAGTTGACAATTCTTCCTTCATTTTGCATTCTTCTGGACTGAGGGACAACAGTATCAGTGTTAGTCTTCCTCACCATGCAGGCATTTTTTTTGAGTTATTCAGAAGACAGATGACTGCACAAAATCCAAGGACACCATGGATTTTAAAGGGCTCAATATGGATCTGCCTCTTCTAGGAGAAAAAGTCTGCTTGCCAAAAGACCCATCACATTATTCACGAGCACCCTTCTTTTCTCTGCCCACAGCTCACCCCATTTAGCACTGTCAGCTAAGCAATGCTCCAGGTCATGTTTAGGAAATGCTGCGGGCAGACTTACACTTTCTACATTTCACTGCTGCTGGTTAGTTTGGTGCTGCTCTGTAATGTGGAGATCCATTAAAAAGTTTAAAGGTTGAGAAGAGAACCCTTGGCTACCTGTACAAAGAGGAAGCCAAGAGGCAGCATTGCTCCCCCCCCCAAGGCCTAGAATAAACAATGGACACAAACCATTGCCTGTCGCCTTCTCCTCACCAATATTATTCTCTTTGTCTTAAAACTCAGCACCCACGAATGCCACCAAAAGCAACTTGTTAAGGGTAATTCCAGAGAGATTGGGTGGGTGGGTGCATGTGCGTGCGTGTGTGAGAGAGAGACTGCTTTTGATTCCCCACTGGGCTTCCTTGATAGGGGCTAGACTTGATGAGCCATATGGTCTTTCCTGCAGTTCTATGATGATGATGATGATGAAGATGATGATACAGGAATAAAATAAAACTGAAATTCCACATGTAGGCAATGTTATTAGAACAAACTACACCCAATGAAGAGTTTTCCAGGGCTCTTCATTAAGTAAAGTGGTAAAAAGTGTGGAGGGACATGGAGGTATTGAAATCCCAAAATTTGGCCAGGTGTTTTAAGCCAGGAGGGTTTGCAATTCAGTCTCAAGATGTACAATAGAGTTTGGATGAATCAGAAGCACTGTTCAGACATTATGCCGGGAGCTGTTTAGGACTTGAAGCAGGAGGATGATAACTTTTGAGAATGCACGTAAATCTCACCCACCATGTTCTTCCCTCACCCAGACCTCAGGCAGACCTTTACAAGTTTGCAATGAAGGTCTGCAATGGGATTTGTAAAAGCATTTTCCCAACTCATGCATTTCAGTGACCAGAAGGCATGGCTTCTTGTCATGGAAATGCTGCAATTGTAGTCAGTGAGAGAGCTGTTTTATCCTAAAATAGAAAAACCCAATATATCAAAGACATATGATTTCTGAAGTCTGGGGAGTTTCCAGGACAGGTTTTAGCTTTCATCTGGGCTTCAGCTGTCAGTCTCTTTCTGCTTTGGCACTCTCTTCTTTTGCTAAAGCAACAAGTGCTAAGTCTTTTCCTGTCAAATTTCAGCATCTTTAATCTCCCAGACGTTGGAGGAAACTTCAGCAATGTGTAGGGGTGCCCTCACAAAGCTGAATATGACTGGGGGCTGCTTCAACTGCCCTCTTATTGGTCCCAGTAACATGCAAATATCCCTCCTTCCCCTCACCTGGATATTTGTTAACAAAGCCGGTGAACACCACTAGTTTGAAGTATACAGTCTATAAAGTGGTTATATTTAGTTTTTACTCAATAAGGCCAAACAGATATAGGTATCGTTTCAGTTCCATCAATCTGGGCTGCCATTTTACAACACAGAAATAAGTTACAGTATTTTACTTATATTCTACATTCATTTATGACAGTGGTTCCCAAACTTGGGCAACGCAGGTGTTCTGGAATTACACTACACCAGATGATGAAGTCTTCTGGATTACCCATGGAGTGGGAACCACTGATTTAAGGCATTGGTAGCTATCAAAGTGGGTGGTGCTTATGAAGTTTCTAATTCTACTTTTCTAATATTGAATAGCAGGAAATATATTCACCCCTCTCCTTATAATTACTTCGACATAGTCATTTTTTCTTACCATATCAATAATTTTTAAAGTCCATGTGCCTGTTGGATCCTCTCCCCAGGTATGGACTGACATAAAATCCCAATCTTTAAAACCGCTAGGTGACTTATCTCTTTGTCGTTCAGCCAGTAAGACTGTATTGGTTCCTGTATTAGAGAAACAAAATTAATGATTATCTCTGTATAAGGTCACATAAGGAAAACTGTTGTGGCTTTGCAGACAAGAGATACATGCCGCAGATGCAAGATGACAAGAAGTGGAGTCCCTCGCCTTGTGCCACTTAAGGTCAGTTGGGGATAAAAGCAATAAGAACATATAGCTTGTTGATTCAGAGTCATGATAACATGTGTGTCTGCCATCCAAGGAGATGCAGAGCACGGTTACATCAGGGACAAGCAACTTGGGTGGGTCTGAGAGCTGATCTTTTGTCCTAAGAATCCTCTGGGGATCAAAAAAAAAATAATCCAAAAAATAAAACAACACCGTGAGACAAGACAAAAAAAATCCCAAAATTCCCCACACCTTTTAAAAAAATTGTTGGTTTTTTCCTTTTTCCTTTTAGAGTTGAATGGTCTGGAGAGGTGCATTTAAATGATGAAACTGCAATCTGTGGAGGCTTCCAGGAACTGCAGTTTGACCCTCCCCCCCCCCAAATCCACTGAGGGCCTCAGGACTAGTGCCACAAAAACAGCCTTGGTTGGCTTCTTATAACACTGGGGCTAAACCCTGGTGTAGATCTTGTTGTTGTTTAGTCATTTAGTCATGTCTGACTCTTCGTGACCCCATGGACCAGAGCACGCCAGGCCCTCCTGTCTTCCATTGCCTCCCGGAGCTGGGTCAAATTCATGTTGGTAGCTTCTGTGACACTGTCCAACCATGTAATCCATCTTAATAGATGGCAAAAGTGATTTAGCAATACCAATCAGTGGTGTGCAACTGAATTAGACTCTGCACTCAGTGGAAGAGCTCCACCAGAATCTGCCTTGAGTGAATAAAATGGCACCCTCTCACCCTTCCACATTCAGCGAGCTGAATCTTTCTTCAACTGGCAATGTGAAAGCTTCTACTGCACCAAAGAGCCAGCGTAAGTACAGAAAACCCAGTACATAGTCCTCCTAAAATCCAACTCCTGATGGAAATATCTTATTTCTGAAGTGGTCAAGCCTATCTGATGGAGCTGGCACAGGCCTTCATCCACACAGGATGTTTCTTCCTAATTTATGGAGTTCACTCTCCAGAAACATCAAGAGTTTCCGCTGGACAAACTACTTTGGGGAGGAGGAGAGGCAGAGAATTCCACATCTACCAGCCCAGTTGTACATCCTTAAATCTGAATCTAATTCATAATGTGACATCCAGGCAAGATGTTTAGAAATGAAAGGCTGAAGGCCAAACTATATGTTAGACACAGCCCATCATTCTAGTTGAAATCATGTTACTGCTTGAGAGACATGATTCCAGCAGACCTTGGTGTCTGAAAGATCAGACCTGCAAACAAAGTCCATGCTCATATCCAGAAGACCACTCACAAGACAAAGCAGCTAATTTGCAAAATGTGAAGGGTGGAAAAACTTCTGCTGTGACAAGAAGATGCTTTTGGCACTGGCCCTTTTCTTATTTAGAGTTTTTTTTTGTAGTGTATAATTTGGGCCTGAGATAGTGTGATGGATAAAGTGATGGTTCCTTCATCTATCAGGAGCTCCCTCACATTTCCCACCAAGTTGTTGAAACACCTTGTTGAGATGTAACAAATGGTCTTGGCTGCCATGCAGGGATCAATGAGTCAGATGGCAAAAATGAAGATGCTTTAATGAGTGCATGGGAACCATTATTTTATGCCTTAGAAATCCTAATTATTACTTGGAGTGTTGCACATCATGGTAACCTTCCATAAAGTGAATTAAATACCAACTCCCTTTATCCAGCTTCACCACCACCACCAACTTTTCCAACCTGTGTTACAATACAGTCAAGCCTCTTCATTGTGCTAGGCTCGTAACAAGAAAATACATAATGATATCTTCCTTCTCATATGGTGGTACTTGCTGCTGCCCAACTCTATGATATTGGCATTGTGCCATTGAAAGCCATCTTCAGTGAGGTACATTCTTCATTGAAATTTCAGGCGGGCCTCTTTTCTACTCGAATGTGTCAACGAGTTCCCCTTGTCCCAAAGCTACTCTTAATGCTTATATCTAGCATACATTTAAAATGGAGTAATCTCCAAACAAACTGCTGGTGACGTACCAAGGGTGCAATTGTTAGACATAATACAATGGAGAAGTGGTCTCCCATACCTGATGGAGAAGTTAGGGTTACGTGAAGATCACCTCTGCGAGAATATTCTATTGTAGCTTCAAATTGTACATGTTCCAGGGATTTAATGGCATTTTCTTGACCTTCACAAGCTGTCGTGGGTATTTCAATGGTAACTTCACCACTAGCTCTTAACAACCTGGCAACATTATGGGAAATTGTCTCATTATTTCTATTCCCCATTTCTTTCAAAAGGTTCTGCAGCTTTTATTCAATACCTGTGCTATTAACATATGGGATCCCCACCTCCTTTTTACTATCAGTGCAAAACTCCTTAGAGCCTGGATGGGAAACCTTCAGTCTTACAGATGTTTTTGATTTCAGCTCCCAGGAGCCCCAGCCGGTATGAGATTATGGAAGTTGTAGTCCAAAACACATGTACGTAGGGCCAAATGTTTTCCCACTCTGCCTTGAAGGGAGATAGTGGGTGAATATACTGAGAAACTGGGGTAATAATATGGTGTACATATGAATTTCACAGGCCCAGCATCTGATCAATACTTGATACCAAAGCATCTCATTTGTATGCCTTTCTTTGGCCTAGGCCAAAGCACTAGGCCTGAAACACCACAGGGCCTGACTGGGAAGCATATTACTGTGCTGACGCTTTTACCCCACCCAAGGTCTCCCTTGACCTTCCACTCACTAGCCAAGGTGTGGGAGGACAGGAGAGATGGACTTCACCAGAGGAGGAGGAAGAGAAATGCTCTAATTGGCTAGAATAAAGGGTCAACACATATGCCCTCTTGACATCCCCTCAATACAGATATAGCCAAAGACAGAGGCTTTTCTCTCCCTACAGGCCGCCATCACCTAAGGAATCTTGCCTTGGCTGGAAATTTGGTGGGTTTTCAAAGAGGGGAGTAACAGCCAGACAGTTTTATGAGCAGCTTTCCAAAACCAGGATGAGCAGATGAGCCAGCTGCAGCTACAACCAATTTTGCACTCTTTCCATGCTGCCCATCTAGGTTAAAGTCCCAGTTGCCCTGCCCTACTTATAACTCTGCCCCTGGGGACCTGCAAGGACTCCTCAGCACTGTCTGCAGCTATGGGGGTGCCTGTGCTAAAGTGGCCATTGAAATTTTCCCCCAAATGTCCTGGAATGGTGCGATGTCTGGTGGTCCAACTCACTAATTTGAAAGAGTCCTTAGATAAGTCAGTGGCTGCAGAGACTGATGTGCCACTGAACATACGGCTTGGGGAGCCATAAAATCTAAAACTAATTTAGTAAAAGTCTATAAACTCATGACAAGAATCCACACTGTGCATTTTGCTTGACTTCTATCGCCTCAGAGCAATCCGACTGCCTCCTCATTTGGAGACGGCTGGAGTGAGTGAGGCATGACCAGAGGGAAAGGTCACCTCCCCATGCCTGTGTGCTCACTTTGCGATGGGATGAGACATTTTCTGAATGAACATTAGCCCATGTGATCATAATGTCTATGATCATCACATAATTTCCCATCTTTTGGGATGGAGCAAGGTTTTAACTTTAAAGACTAATCTTCCAATTCAAAATGGAGAAAACCATTTTGTAAACAAAAGAGGGAGGGAGATGATCAGATGGTACACTGAGATAACCCAAAACAAAAGTCCACAAATAATAGGTTTTTTTATTTGGCAAATTCCTAGCAGCCAGATGAAGGATGATGGTTTACTCTGACTGGCAGTGGTTCTCCAAGATCTTAGATGTCACTTGCATTCAGATTTTTCTGGACAGAATTTGGGGTCGTTTGCATGCAAAGTAGATGCCCTGCCTCTCTCCTCCTTGTCTTTTCAACTCAGAAAACCAGAGATGAAGGAGGGATTTTTTTTAAGACTACAACTCCCAGGCAGCATAGTGGCCATGGGATTCTGGCAGCTGTAGTCCTAAAGTTTGACTTTTTCCATCTCTGAAAAAAAAACCCTGCCAGGTGGAAGCAGTCCATTGGGAGCATTTCCAAAAGCATCCTTTGTGAACAGATGATTTCTGAAACCTCAGACGTCAGATAAAACCCATGCCAACCGATATAGGCTATCAACAAAACCCTTACCTTGGCTCAAAGCTGCTGTCCTTAACAATGCACTCTTTCTTTTCTGGTACTCCTTTCCAGGTCTTGGGGTCAGCCAAATCTACTAATGCTTTCGCATTGAGCAATCCAAATCCAAACCTGCTGTTCACCATGAGTCCAGCTCCATTTTTCTTCCATCCCGGATTGCTGGCCAGTGGATCAAACTCAGATGTCCAGACTACCAAATGCTGCATATCCCTCCAGGTTAGATTAGGGCTATCATAAACAAAATGCCAGTGAATCTCTAGATACCTCACACAATGGTCTTTGGTTACAACCCATAAGGGACTTTAAAATACATTATTTCCAGTATGGTGGGGCTATCTATAGGGGTTTTAGGATTTTCTTCAAAATATCATTGAGTAAAATGTCTGTGCATTCCTCTCATCACTCCAACAGATTCCCCCCTACTAGATGGCAAATATATATTTTTGCCCCTAAAATTTTAAAGTACATATTATTTACAGATAAAGCAACATTTTTGCCTAGACTGAAGTAAGAAGCTAGGTGATCTGAGTCATTGTCTTATGTAACATTTGCTATTTTGTTCAATATAAGGTAAAGGTTCCCCTTAACATTTAGTCCAGTCATGTCCAACTCTAGAGGGCAGTGCTCATCCCCGTTTCCAAGCCGTAGAGCCAGCATTTGTCCATAGACAGTTTTTGTGGTCACGTGGCCAGCACGACTAGACACAGAACGCCATTTCCTTCCCACCGAAATGGTACCTATTTATCTACTTGTATTTGCATGCTTTCAAACTGCTAGGTTGGCAGGAGCTGGGACAAGCGATGGGGGCTCACTCCATCACATGGGTTCGATCTTATGACTGCTGGTCTTCCGACCTTGCAGCACAGAGGCTTCCGCGGTTTAACCTGCAGCACCACCACGTCCCCCTATTCAATATACCATTTCTTATCTTCTTTAATGGTCTTCCCCATGCCAGCCTTTCCTTTGAGGTCTTTGAGAGGCAAACTGGATATTAAAGAGATGTATATTCCCTGTAATTAACAAGTTTCTCCTTCCAGGAACAAGATTCCCTCTAAAATCCATGCCTCTGTAATCAGATTTGCAAAGCAAGGTCCTGTTACCCAGGTCACCCATCACAGAACGCAGCATGGCTAAATGCAAAATATGAAGTATGAAAAAGCACATACTGGTATAAACAGACAGCTATCACCACTTCAGGAAACACTACTGCTGAGTATGTGCTGAGCATATAATCCATTTTAGCCACTAGAAAACACTGTTTGCATTGAAAAGGATAAGAGCAAAGATGCAATAATTTGTACAGTAATGATGTTCCTATAACATTAGTGATGATGTCAGATGAAAAAGGCACCAGGAAAGCAGCAGTGTGAGAAAGTTACATTTTGGGGAATATGATCAGAATACCTCCACCAACAAAGCCAGTAGCCAAACATGCAGCCCAATGCATTTTTGTGCCCCCCTACACAGCTTAGAAAAATTAGTATGAAGATGAACTTTTTTTGTAAAGTGGCACCATTCACTGTCAAATTTGGCAGCATAGCTTTACTCTCCCATCTGCAGCTCCAATGAGGCTTTCCTCATTCCTCTTCATCATTATAGTAAGAATCAACCAGTTGTCTGTTGGCTACTATTGTGCTTTTGTTCTTAACTGCACTGCAATCACTGTTAATTAGTTTGATTGTCTTATACTATTCAATTTAGTAGCTCATCTGTTTTGTCTTAACTTCTCATCTTATCAGGACATTCTTTAGCTCCTTCCTCCATTCATGGGGGGAGAGAGGCATGCTTGTTCATCAGAGGCTGAGGCTGAAGTCCAGTAGTACGTTGCAGTTAGAATAGACCCACTGAATCCCTGGGGAGTCAAACACCTACATAAGTTCAATGGGCCTACTGCGGTTGCAATTTACTACTGGATTTCAGCCAGTGAATGACAGAGTGGTGACTCTCTATGTGCTGCCGCTGCTGCTGCTATTCAGTGGCTTGCCAGAGTAAGAGGAATGGCGTGGGAATTTGAAAATACGTTCTTGGGAGAAAAAAGGTGGACACTTCTCCAAACCAGTTCTTAAAATTAATTTGACAGAGTGGTGACTCTCTATGTGCTGCCACTGCTGCTATTCAGTGGCTTGCCTGAGTAAGAGGAATGGCATGGGAATTTGAAAATACGTTCTTGGGAGAAAAAAGGTGGACACTTCTCCAAACCAGTTCTTAAAATTAATTAGAGTTCTCATTATTAATTAATTAATTAATTAATTGATTGATTGATTGATTGATTGATTGATTGATTGATTGATTGATTGAGAGGGCATTATTTTACTTAAGAAACTGTTTTAAAAGGATACTGCTTCAAATTAATTGTTGCAGTGAATAAATGTATAGATGCAGGGGCAACATTTATAAATTAGCTTCCTTGACCGTGCTCATTAAGCCCCACCCCTTTCTGAAGTGTGGCCCATGACACCCTAGAGATCACCAACCCCTCTGTTTTTAGGAAAGCTAATCTATAGCTGTGGATAAAATCCTGAGGTGCACTAAAGACTGGGAGGCGGGTCCTGGTGGATGTAGTCCAGTAATAGTAAAGTTCCCAAGGTCTGATCAGAAGTGGGGATAGAGGGGATGGGCAGATCATTCGGCTTCTGTACAGTTTTCACACATATCCTAAGTCCCCTCCTTTTCAACTTTGATCTATGACTTCTTAATAAATATGTACAGAGACTCATACTTTAAAATGCATTTAAATATGAATTGTTTTGTGACTGTATTAAAAACACACATCAGGATTAATACCAACATAGAGTGGACTAGACCACTGGTTCTTAACCTTTGTTACTCAGATGTTTTTGGACTGCAACTCCCAGATGCTTTCACCATCAGTTCTGCTGGCTGGGCTTTCTGGGAGTTGCAGTTCAAAAACACCTGAGTAACAAAAGTTAAGAACCACTGGAATAGACTGTTGAATGCTTGTGACATGGATCAGAAATACACCCCTCGTTATATCAAAAGCATGCTGCTTATGTACCATCCCATAGTGCTCAAAGCACTCTCTGGATGTTTTACAATGTAATTGTGCAGGCTACACATTGCCCTCCAAACCTCAGAAGAATGGAAGGCTGAATGAATCTTGAGCCAGTTGCCTGGGATTGAACCCCAGGTTGTGAGAAAAGTTTTGTTTACGGTACAACAGTTTAACCACTGCACCACGAACCTCAGAAGAATGGAAGGCTGAATGAATCTTGAGCCAGTTGCCTGGGATTGAACCCCAGGTTGTGAGAAAAGTTTTGTTTACGGTACAACAGTTTAACCACTGCACCACGAGATGCAGTATATCAAGTACTTTCTGTCTTTCTTCTTCTATTTAAATTCATATCTTGATAATTTTCTTTCCTGTTAAATGCACATTCCTAAACATAAATCCTCTCTTGGTTTTTTTCCCTCTTCCTCTCTGTGCGTTTGAAAGTGAGTATTTTAAAACACATTTTGGTGGGAGCAGTGAAGTTTGAGTCAAAAAGTGCACCACAAATTTAGGAAAAGTGCAGAAATTTGAAGAATTGCTCCTTTCTGATCAGTAGATTACGCCAGGAATTATGCATCTGGTCAATTCGTTTTGAAATATGGACCAAACAAAATCTTTAAGTATCCTTATCCAAAAGGGAGTTTTAAAGGACTTACTTGGCTTCAAGGGCTAGAGCAAAAATCCCTGCAGCTAAGGGAGCAGAAGCAGAGGTCCCGGTGTGAGTGGAGGTGCATTCATTATGAAGATCAGCACTTATCTGGGGAATAAATAAACACCACACAAATGTTACTGAATCCGGCTGTGTTTAACATCACCATGCACTAAAACACTTGATTTTTTTAAATGAATACAGCCGTAGAGTAATTTCCCTCCCACGCACAACATGATTTGTCTGTGATTTGGAGACTCTTCCCAACCATAATCTATTTTGAGTTTTAAAAAATGGTATCTAAATGGCTCATATTGAAGAAGAATACTCCCACATTGAACAGCTGCTTGGTTCTGAGATCCCAAGAGTGTAAAAATAAGTGTTTCAAAGATAGCAATGAAGGTTAAAACATATTATTGTGTTGGGTCTAGGACATTTCGAAATGATTGCCAGCTTTTAAAAAAATTGCACAGAGCTGAGAGCAAATGTTCTTCTTCCCCTTCAACCAAAGCGTAGCGCTATACAGTAATTTGGAAAACGAGACAGATGGCTTATGAGAAAGTGAAGTAATCCACTCTGCCGCAGCACCTAGCCAGCGTGGCTATGCAGTCACAGTCTGAGGGAATCAGAGGGTTGAAATGTGTGTGCACACATGCTAACACTTTTTGGGAGCTTGATTCAGGCACTAAAAGTTTCACTTGGAAGAGTATTATTTGTAACCAAGCACACCTGAATTATTTTGAACCTTATCTCCATTTTATAACCACAAATCAGTATTTCCCTTACAGGAATGTTGTGGTTGTCGTTTCCACACTTTATGCCACTCTGGCAAGGTTTCCACCCAGGAGACTGAATGCAGTAGGGAGCTCATCATTGCCATTGTCCTTATCATCAACATCACATTTCTAGGGTGCTTTTTCTAAGAAGACTTATTGCATCTTGAAAATCAAAATACAAAATATTAAAATAACAG